GGGCAGATATGACAATAGGTGACCCAAACCCAATCAGCGAACCGAATAAAAATGAATGGAGCTCTTAAATACCTGCATCGAGACCAGACCGTCAGAGCCTCAGAGTCATCCCATGGAGTCGGTTCCGGTTTGCTGCGTCTACCGTGCTGGGGAGTGGGGAGACCCAGGGAGGGCAGCCGGCGGTGGAGGGCGTCGGCAGCCAGCAGCCGGGGCCACGCACTCGCGAGGACGACAGTACGGGGAGCAGGTGTGCGCAGGAGTGGGGACGCCGAGAGGTTGGCTGTTGGCTGACGGTGGCCGGCGGAGGAACGAGGGCAGTCGAACAGGGAGGCGGTTGCACGGCGCAACCGCGCGAGCAAGGTCGTGCGTGACTCGGCTGTGCTTGGCTGCAGGTAGGGCTGCAAGAAAAGCTCGAGGCTCGTGAGCCACTCGAGATGGATTCGTTTTTTGACTCGACTCAAGATCGACTCGAAAAGAAACGAGCTGAGTTTGAACACTTTATGTAGATCGACTGAGAAACGAGCCGATCTTGAGCCAATGTTGGCTCGCTCAATTTTAGCTCGATAGCTCGACAGAATATCATTATGTTAAATGATCATACCATATATTAAATGAAATAAGATAATTTATTACCATATATGTTGTTCATAATTTTTCTTCATTTTATTGACCAACAAACATGAAAATTTAATTAAGTGCAGAGAGATTTAGGGCTAATATGGCACGTGGTCGACTATCTATTAACTATCCTATATTTTTGGCAAAGGTTCCCAACATATTTGCCTTAATTATTTTGTTTTTCATCCATAGATTTATAATTTTTACCATCTCATTTAGCTCGAAACTAGCTCAAGATCGACTCGAGATCGTTCCAAGCTGAGCATGAGTTATATTCTACAGCTTGATCATGAGCTTCACTCAGTTTGAGCTCGCTCGAATTTTTCTTATGAGTTGAGCTGAGCCAACTCTAACTCGCTCAAGCTCGACTCGTTTGCAGCCCTAGCTGCAGGTGGGCTGAACCCTGGGCCAATTCGAAAATCTGCCTAGGTTATAGTTGGGAAAAAATACTCACGCCCCGGGCCTAGGCCCTGAGTGCCCCGGGCCCAGCTCCGCCCCTGCATGCAGACAATGCTCACCTAAGTACTACTCCCTCCGTTTCTAAATATAAGTCTTTTTAGAGATTTCAATATGAAGTACATACGGAGTAAAATGAGTGAATCTATACTCTAAACTATATCTATATACATCCATATGTAGTCCATATTAAAATCTCTAAAAAATTATATTTAGGAACGGAGGGAGTACTAGTATATATAGTACCCTAATACGTTCAGAAAAGGGTTCATGTGGTACGTAGTATCTGCGGCCCGTGTGAAAAGTGTAACTTGGGTCTTGCATTGCGGCGCCAACAAAGTAGAGTAGTGCTGCAAAGCTGGCTTGATATGTCACAACCTACAGCTGCTTGCGCAAAGTAGAGTGGACTACTCATGTGTCCTGTCAAAAATAAAAGTAGGGTCGAGTACTCGTGTGCCACGTCTGCCCACACTGGCCAAAATCACTGCTTTGCACCTTTAATCATACATTAGCAAGATTCGACCCTCGGTTGAGAGAAATGACAAATCAAGTCTGACCCTTTTGCTATTGTCAAGGTCAATGGCGATAGGACTTGCCTGCGCCATCACGTCGTTCTGGCATTACAAGACCCTACCGCCAGGCTCCTTGGCGGTAGGCCCTTGAAGGGCGGGTAGGGTATTACTGGGTTACCGCCCGTGGGCTCTGGCATTAAGGTACAATGGGCTACCGCTATCTGCCCTGGCGATAGTAACTTATCCACGGCTGAACGGCATGACAACACATGCGAGTCGTACCTCCATCGACCTTGGTGAGAGTCAGCGATACCCTACCCCATACTACAACAATAGTACCAAAAATGTCTGATCTAGAAAATGATAACCAAACCACGGTTAAATCATGCTAACCTTCGCCCTTAAAGCCAAAACAGTGATTTTGGCTGCCAACACCCTCCCCGACCGGATTGCAGCGCAAGAAGATATATAGACTTTGAGTGAAAAATATGTTGATGATGTTCACATTTTCGTTCGTTTGTTTAAGCGAACACCTCCATTTCCTTTCCCGTAGGAGAAAATTTTGGTAGTCCACATTTCGTGGGTGTAACCAGATCTCAGTATTGGTGGTCGTACTGGGTTGCGTTGGGAATTGTTGTGGAAAGAAGAGATGAAAATCAGAAGACCGGAGGACACCTCTCTCCCATCTACCACTATTATCACT